GATATCATTTTTTTTTTTTTTTTTTTTTTTTTTTTGACGAGGTTGGTCACGTGTTGCGTGTTAGTGTTGAGGTGGGGGAGGAGATAGCACAGACAATTTGATTGTCTTTGTGTCTTTTTGAAGTCCGGATTGGTTTTGTTGTTTTAATACAGTAGTTTTGTTTCCACTTTTGCTAGAACCTCACAACCTACCCCCTCTCTCAACACAAAGATATACAGTAAGTACTTTCAGTTTAAATTTCATTTCAATTATATTACTGTATTCCCATTAAGTGAGAGGGTTAACAAATAGATTCGAAAGTACTTATAGTTTATATAATAAATACATATATAATTCTATCTACATTAATATCTCAATATTCTAACCAAAAGCTTCCTTTTTAGAACCTTTTCAAATCTTAATTCAACTTTAAATAGTCTAACCCAACCAACCAAGCGTAAGGGATGAACTCACACGGGCATGGGTTTAATTGAATCAATACAGTTGGTTGTTATAGTGATTGATTCATGAAAATGGGGGAGGGGGGTGAGAGGGGGAAAGGGTAGAGGATTAGAGATGTAGGGAAGGTAGGGACGGTTGAGGGTGGTATTATGGAATCGAATCGTTTTACTAGAACAACTGATTCAGTTTGAAGAGGTATATATGTATAGAGAGAAAGCTTCAAACCTTCCCCTCATCCTATATGACCTTATCGCATCTCTCCTACAGGCCCTCCTGCCTGCCCGCCCGCCCGTCTGCCTGCCTGCCTGTCAGTTCACTTTAAGCCAAATCTGTTGCATAGTTAAAATATTCACTTAAACTCACGCCCTCATAGCTCACGCCCATATAAATTTAATCATTTTGGGGGGTAAGTTCCCTCCTTACCTAAACCAAAAGACATTCTAAACTTTCAAATCCTAAAAAATAGGTTCTCAACATCTACATAAGATATTTGGTTTTCGCCAATAAGAAATATAACATAGATAGACCTCCCCCCAAAAGGATTTAAAAATCGTCAAGAAACACCTACCTAATACGTCATCTAGGACGTATATCCCTCCTATCTACCACCTACACCAAAAAACCCCCATTAGAAGGGCAAAAAAGAAATATTTCGCTGACCAGACTGGGGCACGATCCCAGGACCTTGTCCGTATTTAACAGTTGTTAATTGTTAAGGACACGTGATAACCAACTACACCATCCGGCCTGTTGTATGTTTAGAAGGTAATTGATTGAATATATATAATATGTGCGGAGAGGTGGAGGTGGTGGAAGTGGTGGAGATTGAGAGTGGAGCTGTATCATAAGACCCAAAAAATTGGTTATGGAAGGAACATCATTGTTTTTAGGGGCAATGCATGAGAAGGAGATATGGTAGATATATAGCAAAAGTTCTATTGATCAAAGGTTTTGAAAAGTATTAATTCTTTCAATGGAAGTGAGACATTCAAAGGGGATAATAATATGAGCGGAAAATTTGAACCACCCACTTGGGATATCCGTCATTAATCTAGACTTCTCCTCCTTCCTGACTTGGATAAGAGATTCAGTAGAACCTTGGAAGACTCAAATAAACTAGAGTTCCGTGGATTAAACGATTTTCGTGGTTTGTTGAATAGCGAAAAGGACTCCTAAATCTTTTTCGTCGCCCTCCACCCCACCTATCAGCAACCCTAAATCTTGGCACCCAAAACAAAAAGGGAAATCTAAAAAAACATACAACAGTAGGGATTCGCTGGTGGTCACCCACCCAACTACTAATCTACCGATCTGAAGCTTGTGTATGGCAGAGCGGACGGGATGCCCAATTCTCTTCAGTCTATGGTCGTATGTGTCATGGGTAGCCAAGTGTAATAATATATAGGGATATAGTTTGTATGGCTTGCCAATCACTACATAATGTACTTCAACATCGTCAATGCCACACTTGTCTTTACATTACAACGCTCAACTTCTCCTCAAAGACTGAACAAGGAGTTTGAATCAAGTCATTAGTTAAAGGTGGTAACATGGGTTTGCTGAGATTCTCAACTTATCCTCGTGTGACCACTCTTGATGATACACGTAAAGTAAGACTTACTATCGTACTCCTGGGTCTAAAAACAAACAGAGGAGGTTGAACAATCTTCATTTCTATCTAAACTTGAAGTGGAAAATATTCAGCTCATGACTCCGAGACAAAATCTAACATCGGAATGTAAAAGATTTCTCTCCCTGTCATCGAAGAACATCGAGATTAATGAATATCCAGATTGAGAGAACTTCTCAATCATCATTACTCAGAAGGCACATTGGCACCAATGTGCCACGAGAACCTAAGCTGAACTTCCAACTTTTCAAGAAACGAGTTAAAGTCCCACAGGCATGTAAGCTCAACGTGCATAAAGTTACACCCATCGACAAAGGGATGATTGGTAAATCAAACATCAAACGGGATTTATTGCCACGCTCGCTTGAGTATTGGCTGCAGGTAAACGTAAATATACCATCAGGTACAACATCTGAGATGTTCATCTGACAATGACAATATGACTGATTTGTGATTCGATAGGGCAGATGAAAGGGTACAATAAAGAGGATGGGGTTGTACCGGATACACAAGGGACATCATCCGTAAGTTTCCGAATGTTGAAAGGGTTTAATGGAACAGAACATTGAAACTTGAAAGGACGGTACCGGTATTGTACAGTAGTAGTAACTGGTTGTAGTAACTGATTGTAGTAACTAATTGTACAGTCTGTACTTGATCAATTTCTTGATGAATTTCTCATGAAGAATGTAGTAATCTTACCTATACTATTAAATAGCTAACAAACTTGGTGAAAGCCGAGGCAGCTGTCAAACGGACCAGACCAGCTGGCACCTGTGCAATAAATCGGCCCAAGTTCAATATCAATAATGTACAGATCAATCATGGATAATGGAAGAGAGAGTACCGGTAGTTCAGATGAAAAAATCAAACCAATCATGTCCCTTCTTTTCCGACGATAATTAATGATTTTTCATTAATGTTTAATATTATCCTTCGGACTTCAATTGTTGATCTCGGCGCAAACATGTCATTTCCAAGGTTGTTATGGGCATTGTCATTGTCATTGTCATCCCAAATCTCGTGCCTCTTGAATTGGGGGCAAAAACAATCAATATTTGATGCAATCAATCAATATATCTTACTCGGGCACTCCGTCCTTTCGCCACGTACCTAGCTAGGTAATAGCTGGGTAGGTGCTAGGTAGGCATCAGTAATTGACGAGTGACTTTAAAATATATATCAAGATGAAGATGAAGCTTTGATGAGATGAGAGAGGGAGGTCAGGTAAGGTAAAGAAAGGTAAAGGTAATAGAAGAACGGACATGAAGATGTTAAAAGTGGTAAGACAGGTAAGATGTGAAAAGGATGGGATTTGATGACGGGTAATTGATCATTGATCATTGATCCATTGATGTAACCTTACTGGTACAATCCTGGCCGACCGATAAGAAAAATGTACCCCCACGTGATTGTTATCAGAAGATCCCAATTTCAAGCCAAGCCAAGCCGAGCCAAGGAGCCCAAAGAACGGTTCAGTGTTGAAACTTGACCCCCTGGTAGGTATCGAAATGCACGGACGACTTTCAAGGTGAGGTAAAGCGGATGTCGAGGTTGATGTTGGAATCCTGATCATCTTGGGTAAAAGGAGGAATACACCTGCAGTCACCAGTGATACCGGATAATCGAATCAATATCAAAATTCTTGCCGGTGTCGGTGTCGGTGTCGATGTCGGTGTTAATGTCGGGCGAGGAGAGGAACATTGGGGGTATGTGGTACCGGTACAGCATAATCCATTTCACAGTAACCACCATATGGAAAGAGAAAGACGTAAAGGGTAGGATGATGAGAGTAGGTAGGTACAGCAATAACTACATACGAGTACTATTGAAATACCCGTGGACATATGTAATGAAGAAGAGAGCTGAATCGGATATTATATTAGAGACTTAGATATTGACCGAACAACATACCGGTAATGATATCTCTAAGTAAGGTAAGAACTTGGAAGACAATACCTATAATATTGATTGAACCTTGTTCAACTGAAAGAGATCGAGATTCGAGATTCGATAGGATGTAAATAATAGTAATACTCGAGTAGCTGGAGGTACATACTCTTCACATGCAGACTCGGGACTTGTCGTCAATTGGATAGGAGGGAAGGGAAGCTTTAGACTTTCCATATCCACTTCCGTCATCATACTTCTAACCAGAGGTGGTCTCATAGTCATAGGTAGTCATCTATGAATGTATACGTTGACCAGTGGATGAATGAATATCCAATTCGTATATATCTACTGTACGTACTAGATTTGAAGTAAAAGAAGGAAAGGTGTTGAGTGTTGAGGACAAATCTTGATTCCTGCCTCCTGAGACCTGAGGAATTTATATACGAGTCTTGACCCATAATACCCATTGTATCTTTGAACATCATGTTGATCTAGAACAATTGACGCGCAATAATTGTCTAGACCAATATGAATATAGTAAGATACCCATATATTTCACTCCTTCACCAATTGATGAATTCGAATATTGAAAAATAAATGGAAATAGATTGATTGAGAGTCAATTTGAGACTCGAGAGTGAGTCCGCAAGAGAACACATTTCCAAAGTTTTGACGAATAAATACATGGGCAAGAAAGGAAGAAAGGAAGAAGGGAAGAAAGTAAGAGAGAGTAACCAATTATCGGAGAAGAGTATCAAATACATTGTAAAGTCTGTAATATGAAATATGAAATATAAAATAATAAATAATAAATGTACTGTATAATATAATCATCTACTTCGTACCTAGTAGTTATATTCTATTCTAGTACCCAGGTCGTCCTGATTGAAACATTACATTTTGAGCTAGTACTACTTTCGACTGATGGGATTTTATTGCCAAGA